GCGTTTCATGGGCTCTCCAAGGTGCCCGCAGTGCCAACCAACTCGATCACTGCTAGACCGGATTGTGCGGATTCCTGGTATAGTGTAGCAGCAGGTGTCCTGATGCGCCGTAACACCGTCTCGGCGTCAGCCAAACTAACGCGGGTCTTTCGCCGTACACTAGCTCCAGGCACTCTGCCTTCGTATGAGTTTCAAAACACCGGTCGGGCGCTGCCGCTATTCTTACTTCCACAAACTTGAAGAATGTCTCAAACCATATAGGTGCTGCTGTAATGCGAGGCTCTTCTGCAGGTGGGTATCTCGGTCTGGAGCGCGGGTTGGCTTTAGGCTTGTTAAGCATGAGGCTTATCCTAATGTCGGGTGCATCCGGCATGAGACATGCATCACTTGCCCAAGCAGATTTCGTGATGTGCAATACGATGTTACCTTGCCTTGAGATCTGCATGGGTTCTGATGCTCCCTTCTAGTCAAAGCCGGTAGACCGGTGACAAACCGCCCGCCGCATCAGGCACTGGATCAGGATGGGCTGGATCAGACGGCGGTGATGAGCCTGCTCCCAGAGTTGGAACACGGATCACGACATGACATGAATCAGTTTTTACCCTCGGGATGTGACGGCCTAGTCGGCTGATATCTTAACTGCTTGCTTGAACAGACTCAGGGGTATTCTTTACCTATCGGAACCTGATTGTATTGACATCTTAATCAAGCTTGCACTCGATATGCCTTGATTCATGAGTGCAAGAAGGGGTATAACCCTTGAAGTATGTCAATTTGCCATGCTTCGAAACAAGTAGCCTGCACGCATTTTGAAACGGCATTGGGGCATGCCAGGCAGCCCCAGATCCTAATTTTGCGCGCAAGACATGTGCAGACATCGAATGAACAACTTGGCATTATAGATTATCAGTGCCACGGTGTTCGAGGCTTGATTGAACTGGATGAACGCACCTGGCGCCATCTGCTCCAATCATTAGTTATCAGAACGACCGCCGGGCAGTCAGCATGCGCTGCGCTAGTCTCGAAGGAGCGTGAGCGATCCACGGACCAGTCGCGAGCATGGCGGTGTTAGTTGTCTGCATGCAGTTGTATGCCGTATGCAGTTGCATGCCGTATGCATGCTTTTTTGTATTAGAGCCACGGTGAGTTTCAGCCGCCATAGTGACCTGCGGTAGGCCGTGGAGCATCCCATTCACGGGATCATCGAGACATTTGAAATCAAGAGACCATTGTGGTTATTATCTATAAAACGAACACGAAATGGCAGGAGTTGTGCGGACAATATATGCATTTAGATCAGCGCAATAAAATGGAATGAGCAAGAATGGTGGGGACAACGCCATCACAGTGGAACTGCTAGTGATGACGTCACGACTTCAGGGCGCCAGCGGAGTAGTCAGAAGTTGCAACATTATGGATTTAGTACAACTTCAGCCCCCAGGCTGGAAGATAAGTAGAAGACCAGAGAAATGTTGCGCTGACTAGACGTCTGAAGCCCCAATTACACTCTGTTCACATGCTCTGTCTGCAGCTGCTGGGGAATATTACACTCTGTTTACATGCTCTGTCTGCAGCTGCTGGAGAATATTACATTACACTCTGTTTACATGCTCTATCTGCAGCTGCTGGGGAATATTACACTCTGTTTACATGCTCTATCTGCAGCTGCTGGGGAATATTACACTCTGTTTACATGCTCTATCTGCAGCTGCTGGGGAATATTACACTCTGTTTACATGCTCTATCTGCAGCTGCTGGGGAATATTACACTCTGTTTACATGCTCTATCTGCAGCTGCTGGGGAATATTAGCCATCCGACCCCACGTCACCTGAAGTCATCGTTTCCGATCCCGAAGATTGTCACCGTTACGCGTTCACACGTACACGCTAACACGTTTACACGTACACCCTAACATGTTTACACGTACACCCTAACACGTTCACACGTACGCGCTAACACGTCCGCGTGTACACGCTAACACGTTCACATGTACACGTTAACACGTGCACGTTAAAGGGAGTATGCCGCCTTTTTTGTGTTTTTCACTTGTTCTCAGATCGAATGCTCCCATTTTGATCAGTAATGTCAGTTTTCTCGAAATCCGATATTCCAATAGCTCGGAATTCCTATAAGAAGTAGCCGCTTTGAGGAAGAAAACCTTTTGGGCTCCCTGCTGACCACATTGAAAATATTTTTTTAAGTTGCCTTTATTTTCCCAACGCTTGCGTTCTATCACTTTTCCAATACACTACTTTCTTAAAACGCATATATAAAGGTGTCATGAAAGCTTGTAGCATTTTTACCGAAATGGCATACAAACATGAGGTTTTCGTCGCAAAAACTCAACGAAACATCCTTTTAAGGCTTTAATTTCTCCCCAATGGCGTTTAGCACAGTTTTCAAGCACACTTTGGCTTTGGGAAACAGAGCATCACATGGTCTATGGTGACGCACCGGTTCAACCTTCGATACGTTTCTGGTTAAATAGCCTTCGTTGCCCGCTGTGCCTATCACAAGCATTCATATGTACTGACGTCATGGATGCCAGAAGCTCCAGAAGCCCTGCCACTTTTCAGGTCGCAGACCCGCACCGTGCGAGTTCAAACAGCTTAAAAGTGGTACCTGTAGACCGTAACAGCTGACGATGGTATTAAGCAGATTCTGCGGATCCGCGACATCAGTCGCGACGACCGCAGCTGTCACGGGCAAGGGCAAGAGCATTCTGAGGCTTCCAAGATAGGAAGAAGTGTAGTGCTGCTAGAAGGCATTGACAGCTTGATTTGGTCTCGAAAGTAAGTACAGTTCACTTTCTTATTACACCTTGGTGATGCTGCGATGGACTACCCAGTGCTATTATTAGACGCAAAAGGTCCTGAGGTTTCACCAGAAAATGTTTTTGAAATATTCCCCAAATATGGGTCACTCCCTTTACCGTCCACGCAAATGGCAGTAGTGGGTCCCCTTATGCATGTACCTGGCATTGATATTTACGCTTACTAAACCACCCGTTTTGAGTTTTGTTCCTTAAAATCTGAGCCCTGGCACGCTCCCCCGAATTTCTTCCCTGGCTCCGCCTGTCACGTTCATCATCAACTCCGTGATATTAGTACACCAATATACAATACTTGACCGCAGGGGGGAGGCCGTAACTTTATATACTTCCGGGGACAGGAGCTGAGTCCCCAACGCTTACATGAGCCCCCCCCCCCCCCCCCCCCCAATGCTCCATTGAGTCCTCTCAATGTATGTGAGCAAAGAAGGGATACGTGGTCAAATAGTACGGTACAATTATCTTAATTTTGGTACACTAGGTGGTACGTACCTAAAGACATCACTATTGGTATCATGTGCATTTTTATCAAATCATATTCTGCAGATATATAATGATTGTGTCATGCTACCTTCTTCATATGTTGAGCCAGTCTGTAAATGTTTGATAAGGTTTAAAATGGCAGCACCTCAATTGGAATAAAAAAACAATTAACTGCAAGATGTGCCAGCTTTTAAAAGTTCCGAGTAGCCCTTATAAAACTGAATGCATGTTGACAACCGACAGTTACATATGTACTTGTCCTATGATCGTGCCTGTGGTGGTTATACAACATAATCAGCGACAGCGGAAGTTATCATTGATTCCCTACTAAGGTTTACTGCGATGTTTTTTTTTCGGTAAATCGCACCCATTCTAACCCTTAACAAAAGACTGCTCCCATCAACTTGAAATCGGTAGCCATTCATTTGCAGAAACACCATTTTTAAAGATATCAAACATGGGAAGATTTGCTTTTAATTTAATCATTGAAGAAGCAAATTCGAGCGGTCGAAATCCGGGGGTAAATCTGGTATAGGGGTCTGTGAGGTCAACCTTTCCGGCCGAGCTCCCCTCCCTCCCCCCCCCCCAATTGTAGAAAGTGACACCACAGCTTGACCGGCAGTAGGCTCGCAAAGCAGCGTATGTCCGGAAGAAGACCCCTCCCCCGAAAAGAGAAACAGATCGCGTTCACTCAGCAACTACACAGTGCCTGTGAAGCTCGCCGCAAGCGCGCCGGGGTCTTAGGACACTCAAAAGATAGGATCTTTTTCAGTACCAGACGCATCGAATGTTACATGGCGGTTATATTTCGTTCAGCAATCATCTTTACAAACAAAACTACACCAGTTCATGGGAACCGAGCCGCACGGAGCCCGTGATGTTTGTTCGTCTGTGATATGGTAACCCATTAATCGGACCTAGCAAGGAGAAATCAGACATTGTACATACCTGCTAGACAAAGTCATGTTGGGTCCGCCATTGGGTCATATTCAGCTATTGGGTCATTGGCCATCTGTAGTCAAAATATTATTAGAAGCTAGTTGTAGGCCGTGGGTTTGTTGCGGTTTTCGCCAGCCAATCTCAAAACGGTTCCTGCGCCACTGCTCTTGTCACTTAACTCCGAGTTCCGAAGGGTGATGTGTCGAAATGAGGGAATTTAAATTTGAAATGTTAGTCCAGCGTGTCAATTAAAAGAACTTGGAAAAATGAAAAGTAGCTTGGTAGTTAATCTTGCGGAAAGCTGCGATGGACTGTCTGGGTTCAACTGATGTTTTTTCCATTTTCTTTTTGTTTTTTTCTGTTTTTTTCCCGGAACCTGCCTTTGGCGCCGTAACAGCTTGGCTGATTTTGGTATTGGCTCTATGCGAAGCGGATACACGGCAAAAAGTCCTGGTATTTTTGTGGTACTCTTCAAGCTGGTAACAAGCTATGACCAGCTGTAAAGTACAACCTCGAAAATTTTAAGGTTTGTTGTTTGCTGCGGCGGCAGAACTGCTTTCGGTAGAACAACTTCTGTTTCTCTGTAAAAGCAGAAAAGCGCAAAGGTGGTAGGCGCTAGTTCGTGAGTTGGTGCCAGCTTGCTTCTAACCTATTTAAGAAACCGGTTGTCAATCAGCGGTGCAGAATACGCGCGAATCATGTACAGAATACTAGATTTATTGGACAGCTCTTATCATCGTTAAACACAAAGTCAAAGCAAACTATGGTTGAAAGGACTAATAAGCAGCATAACTACAAAGCAAAACCGGGCCCCAGCTCCAAAACACGAAGTGCGACCACCGACCTATTCCAAAAGACCTTATGAAATCCGGAGGCCTTCCGCCCCCAGGCAGTCACTCACCCGGCTAAATTCCAGCTAACTCCGAAACATAACGTTTTCAACTAGACAAGATCGCCGCTACAAACTGTTGTACAATGGCTAGGCACATCAGACAGAACTCAATACACACCCATTCCGTGACGTATATAAGCAACAAAAGTGTTATCAGACCTGCGCAGTTTCCCTCTGACAGACTTAAACACAGTGCTCTAAAACGGAGAAGTATGTGATTTCGTCCATGTTCTTTATGAAACCCGATCGTGCACGTGCCTACACTACAAACTACAGCCATCGACGGCGCGGTGTAGATGGATGCCCGTTGATATGTAGCACGCCTGTTCTGAGCTCACTTGCGATCAAAGATATTGGCAGGGGGTCTCGACGGAAGTTCTGAAACAACATCAAAGCACTGTTATCACATGATATTGTCAGACGTTTTACTAACTCGGCTGTCAGATCATGACTGACCTCATTGTGGCCCAGTTGGTAGGGAGCGCTCACCCTGACCAATCTGTGGCAGGCATGTCTGTTCGCGTGGTAGAGACCTTGCTGATGTGGCTTGTCTTTGATAGTGTTTGTCAATGGCCAAGGAAGTATAGCTGCGCCAGGGAAGTCTACCATGGCGGTGACAGGTATAAATCCTTCCGCAAAATTTGCCCATTAAAAAAGGAAAGTTTTTATAAAGTGTTGCAGCTAAGTTTTAGCATAATCAATTCATGGAAAAACCCCTGGTCTATGCAAAACACTTGTTATAATTATCTTTAAACGCGTGTATCGTGTCAGCAGGCATTCAGGCACTAACGCAAATGTTCCACATTTTAAGATTTTGAAGTAAGCATCACATATGACGAAGTAACCTCACTTGTAACTATTGGTATGCTTTAAGTGGAAATAATACCGTACACATCACAACTTCTCCACTTGCTAAATACACTCCTCAGTACGGCATTGCTTTATTGGGTCATCAAGCCTTGCACAGCATTGATAGAGAGCCAGTTAACGGCCGTTGTATCTGGAAATCGTGCTCACAAACGCAAGATATGAACGACTCGACCATTATACCTTTCTTGGCGTTGACTGTCGCATGGCCAATGAAGTGGCGGGATTTCAATAGCATAATTATGACGTCAATGCTGCCTGGTTGACCTTGAAATAGTTCGCCACGAAATGGTCTGCGCATTTTCGCGGGCATGTGCATCAGAAACTAGAGGTTTTACGTCTCCGGAAGGGTAGGGCTGCGAAGTGCACTGACTAATCCTCACGATGGCTTTTTCAGCTCAAAATCCCATACCAATGTGGAGCACTCCCTGCAGCTCCCGCTAAAACCAGGGATGTGAAATACTCATAAAAACGTATGCGTCTTTCTCATAACAGTGTGGTTTAATTGCCGACAAAAGGTTTTTTCCAATTCTCTCTTATTCACGAGAATTTACATAGGCCACTGAAGACGTCCATTTATGATAGTTTGGTAACATATGGTACGGAAAGGTGTGTTATTCGTGTCCGCCCATTTTGTTCTCAAATTTATTTTGAATGGTTTGCATGAATTGCTTTGTTTTCAGGGTTTCTGCTAATCATGGCTAAATATCATTATTGGTACCATGAGCCCACCATCAAAGTTGTGCTGTCCAATTCAGCACATGACTACGCCTCCAGGGGTGGTAAAAGTTGCGGACTTGGTGGATAAGGTCAGCGACATAAATGTCTTTTTCGCGCGCCGCTTGGTCCCAAAAAATATTTCTGGTCTTTTGACCGCCAGTTTTGGTGACGGCCACGACAAAACATTGTGGCGCGTTTGTTGCAACCTTCCATTGGCTTGAATGGTAATGCATTTCACCCCACAACACATGCAAGCTTTCTCGTAAATATCCTTTAGTGCAGCCTACAGCCCCATGGCATCTCTTTTAGCCTCCATCCCAACCCGATGCCAAAAATATCCATGATTTTTAGTTAGCCGCTTACTTCGGTAACAGGTCGGCGACAAATCAGTGTATTTCGTTGGGCCCAGTCGGTAGGCCACTTCACTGTTTTTACCAGGCGATTTCCAGTATCCCAAACTTGATAGTAAAAAATTATTAAAAAGATGAAGATATGACGATTTATTTGGTCGCAAATGCATGTTTCAGCCTTTGGACGCAACTGAGATGTGTGAGGTTGGCGGTGAGTTTTATTGCGATAGGGCTTTGCAAGCGGCATTCGCCTTGCCCCTGATATCTATCATGAATGAATATCTAACTTTAGTTTTTTCGGCCCCGTTGACTTCATTGAGTGACAGCTCAGGGAAAGTCGGCGTGATGATCCAATCAAGGTAGACATTGGTCCGTGATTATTCAGACTGACTTTAAAGACAGAGAAAAGCAACGGAAAGGCTGTTGACTGACCGTAGCAGTCTCAAGCACCGAGCCTTCCCCCTTTCAAGAGAACTGTGGGTTTGGCGTTGGGGGCTGATGACACTCCACAGTCAAGGAAATGAAAGGAGGCGAGAATGGTTCTGAAGAACCAATTAAAAAAGAGATCCGAACCCTTTGAATGGATGGATTTCTGGGATCAGCGCTCACGCTAAGCAGAGCTTGTTGAGTGAGCCTTGACCCCCACCATCCGATCGCGCAATTCCAGGCAATGGCAGAATTTAGTGGCGAAAGCTTAACGTGCCGCAATGCTCGGCGCGGCCAGATGTCAGATGAGTATACATCTTTGACAGATGATCCCTCTCTCGCAGCTTAGGGACTGAACTGGTCGCCTAGATCCTCTAGTCACGAAGGGGAACTTTTCATAGCTTGCGGGCCCTTCAGGCCATCAAAGTGTTCGTTTGGTTGCTTCTGACCCACTGGCTGCTCAGTGACCCATCTTGTCGCCAGAGCGTATATCTATAATCAAACGACTTTTTTGGACATTTCTTTAACCTGTTTTAGGGGAAGCGAGAAATGCTATCGAGAAGAAGAAGAAGAGAAGATAAGAAGTGGTCTTATCAGACTACTGAGGGACCGCCCCGGGGCCACTCAAGAGCCCGCTGACCACTGAGATGATCTCTGAGTTTTCAGGGTCCGCGGTCCGCTCAAGACCTTATTAAGAGCCCAAAGCCCCTGATATCCGGGCGGTGCGCTGTATAATTGTGGTCATTTTAGCTGCACAGGGCATATTCTCCCTTTCACAGGCCACCTGGTTACCACGGAGCTCCTCGGCTGCTTTCAAAAGCAGTTCAATCTTATAGGTCACCCTGTCGAGAGTAGCCGCCTGCGTGGAAGTGTGCCGAAAGGCTGGGGTCCTGGATCTGCCAGTAAGACCCGAGTGCAGTCAGACAGAGCTCTTGCTATGCCCCCCCCCCTCCCCCAGAAAAGTTTAAAGATTAACACTGACGACGAAATTCTATTTGAGGAGCTTGGATTTCATTTTACTGTTTGAAACGGAACTGCTATTAGTCATGTATTACGCAAACTCTAAACACATTCTACACGGAAAATATATCGAAGTGCGGATCAAGAGAGCATTGTATGCCAATGTTTAGCTGCGAATTTATGTGCGGTTTTATTTGCGTGAAATTGAAAAGCATCTTCAGGCTATGGTGCAGATAGGGACAGACGCATGAGTTCAACAAAACTAACCACTTTGCGCATTCGGAGCGTTCAAATCAACAAGCAAACTGTTGAGCTGCTGGATGCAAAGGGTAGTGGAGACGGTAGGATCGGCGATACCTGGCTTATGTCGTGTCGGTGGAAGCACATGCCATTTTATTATTCAAACGGCGGGAAATAATTAAGCTTGAGCGCGGAAGTTCTGGTCCCTTCGCTTCGTCAAAGCATGTAACAGTCTTCTAAAGTCGAGCTGCAGCCGTAAATGATTTTCTGTTAATTTCACTCTGCGTGACAAGGATATAAGACAGCCGGCATTTGTTTTCCTCAAATATTTGTATAATCCCATCTTTCCGTGACCCCGATGCACCCTTCTTTCAGTGCGCCCCCACAAACCTCTTGTCCGGCATTTGCGCAGTCGCCTTCAACTTAATCCGAGCCCGACCCGATACCCAACATATTGCTCCTTCCTTTGCAGGCAGCTTAGAAACCCAGTCTGAACCCGTATACACCTTTTGCCGAAGCTCATCAAAAGGCGCGCACCAGGCGACACATATCTCGCCAGGCTTGGAGCATGCCTGAGGTATGACGAACAGTATGATGATGGTTGGGATGAGGCTTGAAGCGCACACGTGGTTGCCATAAGGGGGCATGACCTCGAGGAGGCCAGCCTGTTTGACGTCATCGCCCAGTGCCCCCTGCCACAGGTTGAAATTTTTCAAGTACTCAGCTGCCCTGGCTGTCGAAGCCTTTCGCCGTTTTTCGCGGTCGAGGATAGCAAATCTAGCCGTAGATCGAGCTTAAACGTGAGGCCCCGACAAGTCCCGAGGGTGTAAGAAGACAACCTTCGTGATTGAACTGTCCCCATTGTGTAGGGTCAGTGTGCCTACATTCTTCACAGTAACAGTTATCCCGGCATTACTTGGGTGACGTTGTATGCATGAATGCTTTGGTTGTGTGCTTTATGTTGCAAGTTGCGGCGATAAAAGAGGGTTTCAGTAATACGCCGATTTCTGATAACGCTGCTGGGCATGGATGTCATCGCTATTTTTGTCACATGGTATCGTGTCACACTGCTGGCGACAATTTTGTCCGTGGTAATTCGGTCGGGGACAAAAAAAAAACACTTTTACCAACCCTGCATACTTCTGTCCTTTCGCCAGGCAGGACTGCGGAGGATTTTACGTGTCGCCCAGTACTACAGTATAGCCGCTCCGGGCCTGGGTTGACCCTCGTTGGCCACTTGCCAGTTGACCTTTCCGATTCGGCCAAGCCAAAGAATAATTAGCGTTAAAACAAATCAATTTAACCATTACCATGTATCGACCCGATGTCATGAAATAAGATTGCCACGAAGAGCCAATAAATATGCATTACTTTTCTTGACGCATGGTAGTCACAGCAAAGATACAGTCCCTTCGCGGTCTAGCGCATCTTATTTCTCTTTCTCAGAGGCCGATCCTGGAACCTAAGACTGCAACGCAGCGAAAAGCCGTTATGCGGAACAGACCTGATCCAGCCGCAAACCCTCGGCAGCAGACAGGTGAGAGGGATGGAGCAAGTGGCAACCGGCCTACTCGTCTGCCGGTGTGGTAGTAAAGCAGCAACCGTTGAGGTCGTCATTCATTATTGCTCTAAAGTTCTTAATATAAACTTTTCATCGGGTACAAGTACGGGATCAGCACCAACGCCAAGAAGTGCTTAATGCGTGCGCCCTGACATCACCCCTCAACCGCAAAACTCCGGGTCAGCGGTATAAGAGCTCAACGCTCCGCAACGCGTGACACTGCCCGTCCTACCATGAAGAGCCCTCTGATGTCA